TTTTTTTTTTTTTTTTTTGGGAGCAATGCGGTCAACTTTTATCTCCACACTTGGTGCAGCATTTTATTTATGGTTACGGTAGGATTAGCATAGAATGGCATAGAGTGCAGATGGCTATAGGAGTGAGGGAGAGAGAAGCGGATCGAGCATGCACAATGTGAAGCTGACAATTTTATTATTACCATGCATAATATGGAGAGCATATCCTGCTGCTGTGCTGCTGCTGCAACTGCTGCTGCTGTTAGCCTGGTGCTGATTGCGCATTCAAGTGAGCTACCAAAAATGCCAAAAGGGGCTTTGATTGGCTTGGTTAGAAATGGGAGCAGCAAGCAGAGCGAGTGTTGGGGATTTTTTGTATCTGTGTAAGCCACAAAATTGCATTGTGGTCAAACAGGAGTCTCAGCCCTGGGCAAGCGCATGTTTTTGCATACGGCCAGGATTTTGAAAGGCTTATAGCAGCAGCAGCAGGAGCAGCAGCTGGCACAGGATGTGGCTTGCCGGCACTCAAAGGGGGTTTAAAGCCAAAATATTTTCATTGAACGCATAATTTTCACACATTTGCTAAAGTGAAGCCTGTGTGGGTGTGGGTGTTTGTGTGTGTGTTTCTAGTGCTCTCCTTCCACACTCATATCTCACTCTGCCTGTCCAATATACATTTCCATGTCTTTTTATTTATGCCTACCTTTGCTTTTGTCCCTTCGCATTACTTTGATATAATTGTATAAAATATTTATGCATTCGCCTGTGTTCGATGGGTTTCTCGGTACTCTGAGCTCTGTGCCTGACAGCCTAAAGAGAGATTTATTAGATTTGGAGCACTATATTGCCCTTAAAGCAGACTATCTGAGCTTTGAAGCCGTTGCTTGGAATCTTTACTGAGAGAATTTATAAGTGAATATTAAGTTGTCCACATAATATATAGTTAAAGATGCATTTTATAAACTTGGATAAATATGAATATCAAAATATGTTCTTGGTACTTATAATACATGATCAATAA